TAGGTGACCCAACATCAGTAGGTTCCCAGGTTTCCCCAAGTGACTTGAGACGTGCCTGCAAAATAGATGTTAAAACTTAGAAATCCAAAATAGAAACAGGCCAAATAGAATGGACTATGACACTGTAACAATGAGTCTTAGAAATCCTTCAACCAAACACAACAGTTTTGTACATTTAAGTAAACTTAAAAAATCACCTTAGAAGGATTTGTACATTGACGTGCAAAGTGTCCTACTACACCACACTTGTAACATGAGCCAGTTGACACAACACCAGTCGTTTCCCTAGTTTCTCCATGTAACTTGCCGCATGCCTGTGAAATGGATTCCATGTTGAGCAAACAGAGTTCCAGAATAGAGGGAGGCTAAATTTACAGGGCAATTCATTCTCTAATAAAGCCAACAGACATAGTGAATTATAATGGACTTGGGGAAAACTCAGAATGACTTACCAGACCAATGTGACCCAGTTGGCCACATCTGTAACAAGAAACTTCTCTTGGACTAGTGTCAACAAAGTTGGCACAACACAAATGGCCAAAACCCTTGCAGACATAACATTGAATTTCCTGTTTAAGAATAAAAATAAATATGATGTATAGTAATATTGATAATTTTAAAATATAAACGAAAGAAATAAAAAGGCATAAATAGAAAATAAAGAAACAAGCATGAAAAAAGACCTTGAGATCATCTTGCAAATAATTATTTGAGCAGGAAAACATATCATGCCCGGAATCTCCACATCTTAAACATATTTTAGAATTCTTAAAGTCACTCTTGTATTTATCTGGACAATCTTTTGCGCGGTGACCACTCTTTTTGCATATAAAGCAATCTTGTGCCTGCACATAGATATTAAATGTATGTTAAGCATTTATGTCCACTGAAGTGGGAAAAAACTAAACAAGGTAAATCCAGGTCTTCATACATTGGATCAAAATTATTTCTTCCATACCTTAGAGCACTTCCTAGCACCATGGTCCAGACTCCCACAAACAAAGCATGGCTTCTTCCGCTTTGAAGCAGATGGGCAGTTCACTGCCATGTGCCCTCCTTCACCACAATTATAGCATGTTTCCCAGCCACTATCCGGCAGATTGAAGTACCTTGGTCCCCGCTGATAGAATAAATATAAAAGGACTATAAACCAAGCCTAGACGGTGAATTTTTTTTGGTTCCAAATTGCAGTTCAGAGCAAATATTTTAACTCACAAGAAGCTTTCGAAGCACAATATTGTCAGACATATCCACAGCATCAGGGGCCACAGATTCAACTGCCCCTGTGGTTAGCACACTGGCCTTCTCAACCTTCTGAGAATTCTCTTCATCATCCACAATAATCACCTGGTAATAAAGAGTTTTTGCCTCATATGAGATTCGAAGTTTTTAATCCAGACTTACTCATATAAAAGATTTAAAATTTGCGACTCAAAAAAGCATTCAATCAATAAAAAGAGCTATGCAGTACCACCAGCCATGATATTAAATGGTATCAGCATTACTCAGGCATCCAAAAAAGCTCATAACAACAAAGTATGCAGAGGCAGTTCCATAAAAAGAAAAGATCTAAATACCCTAATAACTGACTTCATGATTGCAATGCCATTCCTGAGCTCAATTTATTTATTTTAAAAAAAAATCTAGCCAGAAATTAGTTTCCGATGAAACAAACAGTGATTTCCACAGCTCGTCAAATTTCTACTTTTTAAGTTTTTCATGAACTACCTCGTCGATTTTCGTTTGGTTCTGCTTCTTCCTTTTTTTGACATTTCTCTCACTTTTCATATCTCCAGCTTCTTCCCTATCATTCCCGCTAGCACTTGCCACAGGAACTTCCGCTTCCGGCGACGATGAAGAAGACAAACGAACCACAGTAACATCGTCACTAGCATTAAAAGCAGAAATTCCATCTTCAGTCAACTTTGAGGCTTGCTTCGACAAAGCTTTCTCCACGATCTTCAAGCTCAGATCTTCATTCGCCTCATCATCATCACTACTGCCCAATTCTATAACTGATCTTGAATTTGATAATCGCGACTCGTCCTCTTCCATCTCTTCGAAGTCAAGCTTAGCTTCTTTTCGCTTGTCCCTCATTGCCATGAAAAGGACTATCACCAACTCAAATTCCTACCCCGTAGATCTGACGACGACGATTGAGAGATTGCTGCTCGAGATTGCAGAGCTAAGAAGGAAAGGTAACTAGGGTTTCTGCCCTGGATTTTGCTATACAACAGTTACTGTTACTGAATGTGCGCATCGTTTCGGATAGATGGTTGTGATTTAATTTGATTAATTGATCGTCGTGGTGGTGGCGCTCGGTTCTGGCGGTTGAGATTCGAGTCTAAGATACGGGATTCGGCCCAGCATAACTGTTCATGGGCTTTTATTGGTGTGGCATTCAGGTTTTGGGTTGAAAGCCCACCTATTAGCTTTTGTCCTCTTAACTTTTGTAGGTTAGTAATATAATTAATTAATTAATAATTAATATATATCTTTTAACAATTAAATTTTACAAAAACAAAAAGATAAATTTTAATTTTATTAACTAAAAAATTAGAAGAATGCAGGTGGCATTAGTGTTAAAATTATTATTATTATTTTTTCATATGATTTAAGGGTTAAAATGAGCCCTTTAAGTAGGCCTACCAAGGGCAAATTGGGTCGGGTTTAATTTAGGTCAACTCAGGTGACGACTTATTCAGGTTAGGTTGTAAATGAATTGCGAGTTGAAAAAGTTCAACCCTAACTCGACCCTAGTAAATTACAAATTAACTCTTGAGTTGACTTTATTTTCATTTTTTATAATTATTTTATTGATTTTATTATATACAAATAAAATTATATATATCTAAATCTAATTAAAGTATTGTAACTCATTAACACTAAACACTTTATAGTCTCAACCACAAACATTTAAATTAAAAAATATATATAAAGTTATAAATAATAGTAAGTTGATTAATAATATTAAACTTAAAATATTTAAATTTCTTAAAAAATAAAGTTTTGATTTTACAATCATATTGAAACATTATCAAGAAGTTTAAGTCTTTTTTTTTTTTATGATGAAATTGCTCTTCCAAGAACATCTTTCACTAAATTATTATGTTTATATCCTAGCATCACATCTTTAATATTTTAGTTACATTATCATTTAATTCATTATATTTGGTAATTAGATCAAACCCATATAATTTCTAAAAAAAGAAAAAGAAATTATGATGAGTAAACACTCAAAATAAATTCAAAATCATTTGAGTAATGAAAATGAGACCAAAGAGTATGAATTAATAAAGAGAGTTACTAACAAGAAAATTAATTAAGAATAATAAGTATAATATTTTAAAAATAAAAAAAATAATAAAACAAACGGGTCAATCCATCAACTCGCGGGTTGACCCTAACCTAACCTGTGACCCATACAGATTGATATTATGAGTTATATACAGGTTGCAAGTTGAGATATATAAACCTTAATCTGTTTTTATGGGTTGAGTTAAGGTCGGATTAATAGGTTATATGAATTTTTGCCACCCATGCCTTTAAGATATAGTCAAAAAAACCTTTTAAAAATTTTTTTTGAACAAAGTACTCTACTTAAGTATAAGTTTCACTTTCTCAGGTATTTATATTATTTCTCAACCAAAAAAATAAAATAAAAAATCCTACTCAATTAGATACTTATTAGATATTTAATAAACTATTTAAAATACAATTTTGAATAACAATCTCCTACAACTATACAACACTTTTTCCTTTGAATAATCCATTTAAACTCCCCATTTTGCAAATTGTATCCACACCAACAAAATCCAATCCTGTGAAAGTTACACAGCTAACAGGAACTTCAATGTAACAGCGGGAGTATCAAAAGCTTAATGGAGAGATTCAGATTTGCTAAGGGAAAGTCCACACTACCAAAACTTGTACCCAGTGCTACAAAATCAACAAAACCAAATGCTGCAGAATGCCATCTCAATCAAAATTCGAACTTGAAATTTGGAAACTCAAACTTAACCAATAAAACATCCCCTAAAGATAAACAGTGCTTAACTCAAATCAAACTTATATTTTTGAAACAACAAACTTATTTCACATATTATCAATTGATTTTAAGTTAGATGTAAATTTTATCTTAAAACTCATGTACACAAATTTCACATAATATCATGTATATGTTTTAAAAGTTAGTTTTAGGTTGGTTTTAAGAGTTGCTAGATTGGAGCGCAAGAAAGCAAGAATTTGCACATAACCTTTTTCCTCACGAAACTAGGGTTGGTTTACACAGTGAGTGAAAACGTTGGGGCAGGTTTTTATTTGGTTTTGTTGGTAAAGTAGCGGAAAAAGTCAACCATGCAAAGGTGATAACGATATCCCGTATGCTTTGTCATCTGGTAATGAAATAACATATCGTAAAAGAACTCTACCAACCGATCTGATAGTCGTGCGTCGCATTGAAACTAGTGAGTTATTTATTAGATTTAGAAATTGAATTCTTAATTATTAATATCTAACAATATTAACTTATTAACCATTGTTCTTATAAAAAAAAAATCACAAAAAACATAATAAAATTTGTGAAAAGGAATCTTCTCTACTCTCAATTTTTCGTGTCAGCTTTCACTAATGTATTCCTTCTCTAGGATTGCTGCACCCCTCATATATTAACTTTTTGAGCGCTGCCACTAATGATTCTCAAATTATTAAATTAAGTCCATGTCAACTTAGTTAACGTCTCCTTGAAATTTTATTTTTAATAAAACATTATTTGATTGTTTTGTGTTTTGAAGGTTAAAAGTGACATTAAAGTAAAGAAGAAGTTTAAACAAATCTGTAAAATCTAATTAAAAAATAATGCCTATCAACCTTACCTCCTAAAAATTAAGAGAAAAATTATCTCAAAATTATGTCATTTTAATAAATCTTTATTGAAAAAAACTAAACAACCTTATTTTTAAAACATGCATTAAAGTCGTTTTTGTCATTTTTTCTCTTAATATTTTTGAGGTAAGACAAAGAAACACTAACCCCATTTGATTATATATATATAAAAAAATATCATATGAATTATTTTCCTTTAATTTTTATAAGAGTAGAAGTTTCGGAAAATCTTATGATAGAATGTTATTTTTCAAAATGAGGCACTTTATATCTCCAGCAGAAGACCGCACCTGTCAACTTTCTTAAATAAATTATGAACAGAGATATATGTATTAAAAAGGGTTAAAAAGAAGAGCAATCAACAAGCATTACAAAACCCCCCCATTCTGCTAATCGCATCTACACCAACAAAATCAGTAGGAAGCAAAACCAGGGGGGACAAAAATGACAAACATTCGCGGCATCTACATATCCTGTATACATTTTTGCTACTCCAAAATGCTGTTTATGTACCGTGAAAACTTACATAGTTAACTGACCTATTACCTGAACAGGAAATTCCATCTACTGGATGGAAGTATAAAAAGCTTAATCAACATATTCAAACTTGCTAGGAGGAAAGTCCACCCCATCAAAACTAGCAAAAGAATTACATAGATGCCATCTTTATGCGCTACTTAGCTGCGTTACTGTGACATTTGCTTTTGGCTTCCTCCCCCATTTTGCATTGGAGTACTGAGAGCTATAATGTTCATCCAATGCAATGAAGGAGATCTCGAGTGTTCCCTAATTGTAGATTTTAACTGGTTTTTCAAAGGTGTGGCGGTTCTGGAAATAATGATGAGAATATCAGTATTAGACCGCCCCTTCCAGGTGTTGAAAAAGGTTTCATTCCAGTATCTCAACCTAAATGCTTACATTGGGTATATTCAGGAAAAAGTTCTAATATATTTTTTAAGAAAAAGCACTTTACCTGATTAGCAGCATAGGCTCTTTTAGGTGCATTGTCAGAGTGCTCCAATCCAAGATACTGCTCCCAAGCACCATAAACATCTCTTCTCTGGAGAGGGAAAGATACAAGAGTAAAATCCATCCTTAAAAGCTGAGGAAATATATATTTAAAAAAATTTCTATACACATGAAGGTCAAATTCTACCCCCACGCACCTGGAAGCGACTGGACAAAATGTCTGAATCTTGAAGATATTCTGGACGTCCAAGTGATAGGAAAGCAAACTTCCACTGGAATAACAAGATGGTTCACCAAATAATTTTGCCATTATTAAATACAAGATTAAACACAGAACATGGACAACATCTAAGTGACTGTCAAAAGCAGAACTAATTTTTAACAGCCACATGAAAAGCAAATTTTCATTTTTATTTTGCGGAGGGAGTGAGGGTGAAAAGGGTAGCAGCAATGATTAGCTCATCTTTGACGAGAACATGCTCCACACCTTAGAATCAACAAATGGGAATACCTTAGCAAATTCTTCATCTGGAACCTGTAGTTTCTTCTGTATTCGCAGTTTTATTTCAGCCAAAGTCTCACCTTCATGTATTACCAAGAAAAAGGGCTCCCCAAAGTTCTGAATTTGCTGTCAAAACCAGGGAATTAAGGAGTTTAACAAATATAATGAGTACCAAGCAAATTTTTTAATGCAAAATGAAAAACAAATAAGATGGAAAAATGCAGAACTTTATATGCAACTTATTACCAGCTGATTCTGAGCTGTCTCTTTGATAAAGTGGTATACATGAATAAGGCGATCATTAGGGCCAAGATTTTTCTCTTCTTCTGGAATCTGTGACATAGAAAAATAAATTCAAAACAAGCACCAATTAAGGACATTTATAAAACAAACCAAAATTAACTAAAAACTATAAATGATTATCTGAGTGCTTCTTCGTGGTGATGCACCTAGGGGTATTATATATTTATATTTCAGAGAGAGAGAAACAGACCTCTTCTGCCCGCAATGTCCAGTATTGATCATTTATGTTCTCAATCTTCTCATTGGATGGGAAAATCTACATGGACGTGAAACCAACAATGAAAGCCACATAAAAAGGACAGAAAGGTGTCAATGGGAAGAAAAAGGGAGAAGAAACCCTGGTTGTAACAAAGAATAATGTTGAACTAGTCAAAAAGTACTTTCCATTGTTTCATTTCGTACTTCTGTTCTGGGTAATGTTGGGAGGAGCTTAAGCAGCTATGAAAGAAAATTATACCTTATAGATCTTGTGATAAAAAACCTCAAGCAACCTGAGTTCTGCATTAGGATGAGATAACTCGACCTGCTCCAAAATGCAACATGTGGTACAATCACAAGTTAGGGACAGTTAGTTTTACCCTTAAGAACCAACAACTTGGGGACTAAAACGTAAAACCTGATTGAGCTGAATAAGAAGCTAATATTACATTGACATGATGGTGATGATACATAAAGTTACCTTTGTTTTAAGATCATTAAGCACATCACCTACAGTGCTCTGTTTTGGTAGTCTAATAGTATGAATAATGACCTGCAATCAGATAAGAGAAGATTTTATAGCATTAAAAGAAAAGTTAATAGTATTGAATGTAGCTTGTTGGATATGATAATCATACTCACTTCATCCTTAGTAGCATGATGAAATGCTACTTTCAGGGTTTTCAAACACTGCAATTCTGGAAGAGGGATGTCTAATACTTCGTAGTATAAAATATCAGACGTCTATCACAAAAAAAAAAAAAAAAGTGGGTTAACTTTTTCTGCATTTTCTCCTTTTGGTTAACATCAAATTAGTCTGGGCATTTTCAACTATTACCTGATTGTAGTGAACCAACATAAGAGATAAATTTTCCACTCCTCGATACTTAATAGGCTGAGGCTTGGGTTGCTGAGAGTAACAGTTGTGAGCTGTGAGCCTGATTTTGGATGGATCATCCAAACCAAGTTGCTGAGCTACTTTTTCAACGACATCATCATAAGTATCAAGTTTTGACCTTCACATTCATAAGACAAATACAATATGGGCTCTCTTAGCATACACTTCTAGTGAAAAGGAGACATTTAAGACAGAAACTAAAGAGCAATCCTGATGGTTTCAACTTACATCTCCAGACAAAAATCATCTTCCTTTGGTTTTTCCAGAGATCGAAAGTGTACAACCTACCATACATACAACAACATGAAAATCATCTCAGGCTATAAAGGTAAATCATATTGTTGATGAATTTTGCTAATAAAAAAAAATTATTGAAGAATCCAAATATTAATTTTCTTAACCAATATACAGTGCTCTGTATTGAGAGAACATATGTAGAGGAACTTTGTACATTTATAAAAGGATTGAGAGTGCATACTTGTCGATTATGCACATATTCCAAAAATGAAGGCACATCTGGATAGCGGAGATATTCAGGACTTTCAACAGGAAGGGACTTCTGAAAGCAAATAATGTCACCATCTTCGAGCTGTGATCAAGAACATGGACCACTTAGGGCACTAAACTTGGTCATTATAAGTTACCATACATGAATGATATTTAATGTTTACCTGACTAGCTCGGAATGTAAATTTCTTGTCAATAGGTTCACACATGACAGTGGGCTCAAACTTAATTTCCTGAACATCAGAGAAGAATTAAGAAACATCTTATTACACAGTAGAAAGGACAACATGTTAATCCAGTGAGCAATAAATAACCAAACTCAGCAACCCTAGGAATGGACCTAAACTCTGCAACTATATGTGCTTAAAGAGTCACAATATTCTATGAAACTAGAGTAAGAAAAAGGAATGAATTTTTTTTTTCTAAAGTTTCTTCCTGGTTAATATCAACTGTCAAAGATCAACCTGATGAAAGCCACTCCAATCCAAAAGCAACCAAATTGGACAAAACAGGAAGCAGCAAGAAGAACAAGAGGATGAAAGCAACAATAACCTGACCCTTGCAGTTGCCAATAAATGCACAAATAAGCTAGTATTTAAATTGAGATTAATGTCAAACAAGACTGCTGTAATGAAGGTATCAAGGATTTCAGTTGGCTTCATGAACTACAGGAAAAGGACTACTTTATGCCAATTGCCAAGTGTTAAAATCAACTATTTTCCCTTCAGACTCTTGGCCCTGAAAACAGTGCAAGTCACCCTCAGTTCATCCTATTTCCAATCTTAATACTAAGCAAGAGCTCATGGACATATCTAACTCTCTACGAGGTTAATTCTCCAGTATAGGGATTCTTTGGATATGAAAGTGGCTAACAATTGTTAACAAAGGACTTAGAGATGATAAGACAAAAAATATGAGCGTACACTAACCTCATAAAGATCAATCTCTTCATTTGGAGCATAGCCTGCCATTTCATTCAATCTTGATAACATTTCTATTGGCTTTCCAGTACCTTTCACAAAAAGCCTTCCAACATAACTGATATAACAGAGGGGTAGTCCAGAGTAAGCATAGTGTATTTTGCCATAGAAAAGAACAGAAACAGAACACAACAAAGTTTTACCGTAGCTCTTCTTTCTCAGGATCATAATGCTTGAAGAAAAGCAGAATATCTTCCTTTGTCTTATCAGGGGGAGCAATTGGACGAAATCCCTGAATGACAATGCTTGTAATCACTAACAGTACTGGAGAGGAAATTAATGTTTAAGACAGAAAAATAATGACTGAATAAGGAAAACAAGATTACCAGTCGCTCTACTTCCAGGAACAACTTGAGTTCTGCATTGTGAACCTTATTTGAAACCTCCCTCAGTGTTCCTACCTAAAGTTGAAATATATATGTAAATTCAACTTCCATGATTAGGCAAGGAGATAATTAGTGAAATCAGAACAGTTTTAGATAAGATTATGATGTGTACACAGAATCACAGATAGAGAAACAAAAGGGAAAAAAAAAAAAAAGCACTTAAATTCTAGTTGTCAAAAAATCTCTTAACAATGACAATGTACCCAATAGACTTAGGTTGTGCTTGAGGTTGCTTTCTCACGACACTTTTTCCTACAGCACCTCATAAAAGTATTAATTGAAAAGCCTACAGCCATAGCACTTTACAGCAATCCCAAGCACAACCTTAGTATAAAGTGATCATTATAGAAGTACTCAGAGCAGAATGCAATAATCTTAGTAAACAAGTAAATGGGTCCTCCAGCAAAGGTAAAATACCACACATATGCTAAGCTATGATTTGAAGGCTTGAAGCAACATAACAAAAGGGCACTATTGAAGGCCCAAACACACAGATCTTACTAGTAAATTGGAACCTAATACTGAATGGATGATAAAAGTGCCCCTGCTTGCTTGATTGCTTGTATTACTCAGGATTGCTTACAAAGATTGAAACTGCAGATTTTCTGGGATATATTTTTTTAAAAAACTTTAAGAACCATTTAACTCCTAAATAGACTGCTTAGAAAACAAGCACTGAATAAAACATTAGTATTAAATTCAATGAAAATAGTACACAGAATTATCTATGGTCAATTAAAAAAAATCTCCTAGGTCAAAAAAACAAAAAAGAAGAATATGAAGAAGATCACAAGCACTCAGAATTATTTGTTAAAAGAAACAAGAAGAGGATATGAGTTGGAAGGCAAGAGACTGTAGCAAAGAGAAAGCCAGGAGCATGAATAAAGGTGGCCAGTTAAATTCAAAACCATAACAAACACCACTGAATTTGAGAAAATAATTAAAGAATAAGAGGTTCAAGCCTGAGCAAATAAAAAGGCAAAAGGTATTTACAGATTGTGTTTCCTCGAGATGTGTCAGTGGCCGGTTTGGGCGATATGTATGGTTTTGACGCTTAGCCCACAGCCAAAAACGTTGTAATTGCACAGGTATTTTAAATTCTTTAGCAACCTCTTCCTGCACATTAACCCCATAATAAATTACCAACAAAGTCTAGAAGAAACTAAAAATACAAATATGGAACAATAGTGATAAGAAAGTTCAACATAACATGATCACTGAAAACCAGGGGAAAGGTAGAAAGAAAATGAGGAAGAAGAAGCAGCCTCTTTAGACCATGCACAAACTCTTGTACTAAAAAATTAATGAACTTTTACCATGTTAGGATAGAATTAATGAAACCAACAAAAAGCACTATCATAGTTATTGCCCATAAACAAGTAGACACACAATTGTTTGGAATCAAACCTTAAAAATATTGAAAGGTATCTGCTTTTGAATACGGAAACTTCTAACTTTGTCATGATCCACAAGATCAAAATATATGTCCCTTCCAATCTGCTCCACAAGATCTTCATCTCGAGCAACCTAGAACAATATAAAGTGATAAGAAAATTGCTCAACAATGCTCAAGAACTATAGCTCAATCAGTTCTTGAAAGAGCCAACCTTTATAATGGTATAAAGGTGTGCTTCCGCCTTCTCCTTCTTTTTGTGTTCTTTTTCTTCCTGTTCTTTCTTCAGCCTCTCCTGGGACAATAGATGGAAGATTCAATATTAGATGGTGAACAATAAATCAACTTGAAATTATTTACTGAAATCAAGAACAGGGTTATTCAACCTTGACTTGAAATCTGCAAGGTAAGAGGTTCATTTGATATTTCTCTTGACAAGCAATATTCAAAGAAATTATCACCTAGAAGCTGACTGATTCTCAAGCCAAGATTTTGCCATGAAAAAAATAAAAATAAAAATAACTACTTGGTCAATAGTTTCATTTACTCCAGGTTGAGAACTGACTTGGTATCAGGATTACCAGTAGTTTTGGATCATTGAGCAAAACAAGAAGCCAAACTTAATCCTAGTTAGGAGATCCACAACACTGATTCACAGACATAAATATATCTAATAACAGCTGCTTACCCTAAGATGTTCAGCAATATCCTTCTCATCCACATTACAGATTATCTTGTCCTTGTCACTTTCACGTATATACACCAGCATGTATGCATTTGAGTATTTAGTAAATTTAAATGGAGTGTTATTGAATCCAGGATTTGTCTGTGGTAACTGTAAAATTGTAAGCAGGAAATAATTGTTAGAATCAAAAACCCAAAGGACAGAGTGGTTAAAGACAGAAAAGTAGATTCTAATTAGAAAAAGTTCTACCAAAAGATACCTCTTCTTCACCACCATACTGCTCCTCTAATGCCCTTTTCATATCTTCCTTTGTCACTCTTTCATCATCAAATTTATACCTGAAAAACAAATGAACATTTTTAAGGCAGATTGGGAGGGCAATATGACCAAAATAGCATTTGCAGAAGTTGATGGAAACAAATCCAACAAAGCATTTGATGAAATGATCCATACCATTGATCAGAAAGAGTTGGCCTGATAAATGCATAATAATGTCCACCATGCACCCCACCACTGTGAACAAGAACACTGTAAACAAACTGAAAAGCATAAGTATGAAGCAGTATCATGAACATCAAAGAAATACAATGCTAAAATAACCTAAAATATTAGAGGTTGCGAACACTCCCATCAGCTTCAGGTGATAAGTTTAGTACCTGTGAAGGGTGTAGAGGTTACGAACACTCCTATCAGCCTCAGGTGATAAATATTTTCCATTCTCTCGGTCAAGGTCAAGTTGCAAAGGGAATTCATAGCGGTCATTAATCTACATTATAAGCAAAAGTAAATAGAGTTTACCTTCTGTACCTAGGGTCTTAACAATTAAGATACCAATAATGCAAAAATTCTCATAAAACAAAACCAATCATTTGATTGCTGACCTTAACCATAGTGTCTCGCATAAAATCATATTCAAATCGTTTGAGCTGAAGTTGAAGGACTGGTGGGAAGTCAATGAATAGAACACCCTTCTTAGCATCCTGGAACAATCATCCCAATTTAAAATGCTGTGACTTAACAGAAAGGAACTGGCAAAACCATATTTCTCTAACGCATTTAACACCAATATAAGCAACCAAATGTGATAAAAATTAAGGCTAGAGCAGACATAAAATTTGCTAACCTGCAATCCAAATTGTTCAGCATGATATTTGTTATCACCCTCAAGACGTTCAACTTCTACATACTTATCAAAAGATGCATAAACATCACAACATCCTTTAACATCAAGCTGAAGGTCTGGCATAGACACACAAGGCAATCAACATCACATGATGAATGAGAAATCAAGATTCAAAGATACTCTATAACCATCAAATTTGAAAACCCTGGATCTAGAAATTCAGAAGCAGGTACCATAAAACGACTCCTTCCTAGTAGATTTGTAATCAACATTAATGCACTCAATATAATTCATATGGTGCCCTTCAAACAACTGCTGTATGGTTCCCTCCACAACAGTTCTCTGGAGACATGCCAAAAATAAACAAAATATCAAATTTCATTCCAGATCAGAATGAACTCATAACACTAAAGCCTTACAAATCTTAACCTTCATTTTATCTTCAAGTTTTTCACAAAGAACCCTATTAAGTTCCTGAACATCGTGCTGCATAAAAGAATCGTATGTGTCCCATCCAAAAGATTTAGTCAGCTCTTTTGTTGCAACACTGCTATCACTGTACTGGAGCTTGTAAAATAAACTCTGCAGAGCCAAAGGGATGCTTCCAGATGGCATGTCATTCTCCGTTGTCGGCATATGGTACACTGCCTGAAATTTGACATGAAAAATGTTAATTACACCAAAAGTACATCTGCTTGAAGGAAATGTGAAGCATAAATACTTACCTTCCTGAAGTATGGAATATGGAACAGAGTCTGCAAGAGAGAGTTCATGTAACAAGTTGCTCCCTGGTTCTTAAGCCCAACAAAACCAGTTTCCTTTTTTGAGTCATATGACCAGTAATCAACAACACGGCGAACAATAACCTCTGCCTCAACTAACAGAGTGTCATTCACTAGAAAACCTCTGGTAGGATCATACAATTCACCAAGGGGCATGAAGGATGTGAAACCCCAGTCACTTTCTCGTGCATTGAACTGGTGTTGTGTGTCTGCAAAATGGAAGTAGATAAAGTACATACCAAATGGCAGGCAAGCCCAAAATCACAGTCTGCAGTTCTCTCCTTTTTTTTCTTTTTTTTCTTTTTTTCCTTTGATGAAATAGTCTGAAGGATTGTGACTAATAATGTGACAAAAGCCTACATCAAAAAATATTTATAAGAATGTGACAAAAGCCACATCATGTTACCAAAATCAAAAGAACATGCTAAAGTATGCCCTTGGCCCAGTTAAGCAAGCTATAGAAAGCTATGGGGACAACACAAGTCGAGTTTATCCCCACTGTCCACAGAGGTTATGTATTAATACTTGAAAAAGTTGAACAGGAGAGAAATCCTGCCACGCATAAGCATGATTTTTTGAATATCTGTAGATGATTCTTTTCTTCTCAGAGGGAATGGACATGATGCAACTGTCTTAAGTCAACATCAAATCTCTAGGGGAGAAACAACTTCAAGACTCCACATCATTCAGACACAACATTGAACATCCATGACAATACATTTTATAGTTCTTATAACATAAAACAAATAAATGGAAGCAAACAGAAAATGTATTGAGTTTGAGACAGTACCTTTTCTGACAGAATATTTATTATGAACTTGATTAATTACAGCCAAGCTAAACTGTGCATATCTACTCCAACCATAAGGTAAACTTGTTGAGTCCGCAACATCCAGATACATGGACAAATGGTCCACATTGTTTCCCTTTGGAAAAATCAGTATGCGCCTAAGCACAGCAAAGTAAACAAGCCAAAAATCCATCATCAGTCAGCAATCAATCCATATAGCCAAAAACAATATAACAGAACCAACAGCAAAACAGAAAAAAAAAAAAAACATTGCAAATACCATTTATAACCACCGACAATGAAAATCTCTGAATAGTGCTTCTTCGTATTCAACCTAGAAAAGTTCTCAATTCTCCATGTGAACCTCGATGAGGAAGGATCTTCCACTGGCTGAGTCTCCACAGTATTAGCAGTTTCAGGTTGTGCTACAACTGATAAGATAGAGCACAACAATTTACATAAATAGCAATTAGACCTAAACCTAATAATGTTTCTCACTAAATATAACTGAACCCTCAACTTCAAATAAAAGAAACACACTGCAGCTGAACAAAATGCTAAATAATATCAACAACTATGAAACATCTAAAGCTCTTAAACCAGTTTTCCTCCATGTATCGAATTTTCTGATCAACCAAACAGCTTAAAATAGTAAAAACGATTCAAAACTAGATTCAACCCTATCGAATCGAGTATGACACCACTACAAATCCAGCATTTGATTTTACGCATAAGATCAAAATAGCCAGGAGAAAATACCTTCCATAGGCTGGTGATTGTCAGTCAAATCAGAGTGTGGCACGAGCATTTCCGCGTCCTCCTGCTGCTGAAATTTCCCCCAAAAAAAGACAGAAAAACGTAAATTAAAAAGGAAAACGAAACAGCAACATCATAAGAAGCTGGATCCATACAGTAACCAAACTCAATCAGATTCAACAGAAACCCTAAACTCGTAACTAAATCATCCACATCGTTTCCGATTACGAGTGATTGAATCCTAAACCCCTCCCGCACACCATGTATCATCAAACACAATGCCCACAGACAACAACAAAAGGCAAATTGCACCGAAAGCGATAGAAAAACAACTATAATCAATTTCACAGGGAAAGCACAGATATATGGAGTAAAGAGGGAGAGGATTTGGAGACGTACATCGACGGAGGCAGGAGTCATGACAGTCATGGTGTGAATTTGCACACGATTTGGTTCGTAGCTCGAAAAAGAGAAGAAAAAAGGGGGAAAAAGAAATGTGATGGAGGAATTTATACAGTAGAGGGGGAAGAAATTAAGAGGAAGAGGAAGAAGAGGGAGGAGAAGGGGAGACGGAGACAGGGCAAAAGAGATCACCAGAGGGTGGTCGCGAGGGAGAAAGGTCTTCCAAGGGACTTTATATGGAGTATGGGTAATATCGTAATTATATGTATTTTCTTTTTATTTTTTCAGAAATTCAATTAATTAATCATTTTTAAAAAGGTTATACCCTAAACTATTGTATGTACTTTATATTTGTTCTCTAAACTAAAAAAGAAAATTTGATTTAGTTCTTAAATTATTATATGGACTTAAATTTGATCCTAAACTGTTGTATGAACTTTTAATTTGGTCCTTATTGTTTATAATTTACCTCAAATTGGTCTTTATTGTTTATCAATTTACCTCAAATTGGTCTTTATTGTTTATCAATTTACCCTAAATTGATCTTTTTATACAAAAATCAATTGACATATATTGTTATTAACATGACACGTGATTATTAAATTATTATTTTTCATTGTTAAGTTACTATTTTTCGCTATCAAGTAACGAACATGTCAGTTTTTTTTGTATAGAAAGACCAACTTGAAGCAAATTGATAAATAATAAGAACCAAATTGAGTCCATATAATAATTTAGGAACCAAATCAATAATTTTTTTAGTTTAGGAATCAAATTAAAGGTTTGTATAATAGTTTAAGGACCAAATTAAAAGTTTAACCTTTTAAAAAATGAAATACACAGATTATTTTTTTTTTTCTATTTTTGGTTGCGCAAATTACAATGGATTCGATGTCATCTCATTCCTTTATTTTTACTAAACTCATATTTGATATAATAATTTGAAATTAATTATAAATAATTTTATATAATTCAAAATTTTATATATTTTCTTATTAATAATTTAAATATTAAACGTCCAATCTTTAATGGCCTAATATCCACCCTCTTTAAATAGTGCGATGGATATATAGGCTTGGGCTATTATCCCAAGCCTTACAATTCTCTTCCCCTAAAATTTTCCCTCTATTCAAAAAAAAAATAATGTAAATATTAAACAAAACTACTCATTATTACTTTTAAAACCATCTTACCAAATATTCTCTAAAAAAATATTATTAATGCATTAATTAATTATGTCATACCTCCAGGTAAAATACTAAAGGTTTTAAAATGCATATAAAACATACTTTAATTATGGACATGTGCATATAAAGATTTAAGACTTCAATATATATATATATATATTCTTAAAATTTGTACTTGATACAGGCAATCACTTAAAATTTTTTAAAATATTTTAGAAGCTCATAAATTTAAAAAATTTAAAAAAAAATGTATTTAAACATTTTATGTAATGCCAAACACATGTCAATTGTTTGAATTGTTTGATTTGGTTAGGACTTTTCCTTATAAACTTTTCATGTCAAATTTTTATAATTTTTTTTTCAATACAATTTTCAACTAATAAACTTTTATTTACGTACTTGGCCCGTGTAGCCCAGTGGCTAGAGCCACTGAAAAGTGCACATCCCCCTCCCCTACGCGGGTTTCGAACCCGTCCCATAACAAAACTGTTCAAAAAAAAAAACTTTTATTTACATATTATTTGAAGGAAAAAAACATCCTCTAACTTTTCCTATATATGATCCATTTAATAATTTTTTTACAAAGTTTTCTTAAATTAATTTGCTACCAAACATGAAAAAGTTAATAACTTTAAATTTTTTCATTATAGAACTTATTAATTATCTATACAGTATTTTCTCAATTATTTTTTCAATAAAATTTTTTTTCGTAGAGTTCATCTCTAACCAAATAACCCCAAATAATTATGTACATCTAATACAAATTTCAAGTACCTATGTGTAAATTTTAAATTTTCAAGATTTCATATTCCCAAAGTATAAATAGTTAAATTGTAACTTCTAAAAAAAAAAAAATTACTCATTATAATTATTATCATTGTTACTTAGAAGATGTGATATGTACACCATTGGTTATGTGGTAGAATTATTTATACTCACATATTTTAAGATTTAATCCATAGTTTTAGTATAAAAAAGTGATATTTATTTTGAGATAATATAGTGAGTAAATTTTTTATAAAAGATAATAATAATTATAGTATTATTATTTCTTTTACTCTACAAGTATAAAATTCTTTCCTTTAGTAACAATGCAAAAATTTTGCAATCCAAAAGGAACTATGTTAATAAAACAAATATATATATATATATTTGTAAGATGTTAATAAAAGATGTGATTTTTTTTTTTTTTTATCTTTGTTGCACAATAAGAGGCAACCATTTTCATCCATTATCCCACCTCATTTGTATGGTATGCGACTTAAATTTAGAACTTTTTACTTTCAACAAAAAGAGATAATTACTACGTTATTTAGGTAATTGACATGTGATTTGTTAAATAAGTTCATAAATATGTGCTGTAATCCATGTTTAACTTTAGCCTAACATCTTGTCCTGTAATGGGCATTAGTTGGTTTAAACATTACATGTAAAGAAAGTACTAATTAGCTAGTAGTAAAAGTTAGTAATTGTTAATGAAGATTTTTGGCCTTGTTGTTTAAGCAGAGACCGTACAACTTTTGGTGTCTTATATCTAAATTTGGTTGCCTGTAGGTTATTCTCTAAATTTATACTAGTTTTTTCACCCTTGTTGTTTAAGCAGAGTTGGTAACACTTTTGGTCCCTATTTGGTTGCCTACTTTCATGAAAAAAGAATCTGGGAATTTTGAGTAAAAATATCTGATGACTTGGCTTAGGATGTTAATTTTTTTGATACTAAAATTGAGATGCAATAAAGCTGATTATAATGGAAATGTAATTGATTATATGCAAAACTTTTAAAACAAAAAAAAGAAAAGAAAAAAGAAGAAGAGTTTTTTGGTTGGAAAATTATTATAATTGATTATAGTTTGGAAATAAGCAATTATGTTTTGAGGATAATGTGTATTAGTTTTGATTAAAAAAATAAAATTTCAACTATAAATGATACTATTTTATTTAATTAAAATTCAATCTAAAATTAAAAAATTCACATGTTTAAATGTGAGTTCAAACATTTAGAAACTAAAAATTTAATTTAAAATTTAAAAATCTATATTATTAAATGTTGATATATAGATTTGAAAAACTTATTATATTATATTAAAATATATAATTAGTTTTTAAATCTAATATTAGCATTTAATAAAAATAGATTTCTGAATTTTAAAAACATGGTTTAAAATTGGAACTCCACTTTTTTAAAATAGATATCTGGGAATATTGAGTAAAGATGTCGGATGACTTGGCTTAGGATGTTAATTTTTTTGATACTAAAATTGAGATGCAATATAGCTGATTATAATAGAAATGTAATTGATTATATGTAAATTTTTAAAACCAAAAAAAAAAAAAATTTAGAGTTTTTTGGTTGAAAATTGATAATAATTGATTATAGTTCGAAAATAAGCAATTATATTTTAAGAATAATGCGTATCAATTTTGATTTTTTTAAAAAAATTTCAACCATAAATAACATCATTTTTAATTAAGATTCAATTTAAAATTACAAAATTCACATACTTAAAAGTGAATTCATATATTTAGAAACTGAAATTTTAATTTAAAATTCAAAAACCTTTTTTTATTAAATATTGATACATAGATTTGAAAAACCTATTATATGAAAAAATATATAATTAGGTTACAAATCTAATATTAACATTTAATAAAATAGATTTATGAATTTAAAAAACATGGTTTAAAATTGAAACTCCACTTAAAAAAAATAAAATTAATATGCATTTTTTACTTTAATGTTTTTATAATCAATTATATATTTATATACATTGTGTAATCAATTATATATTTATATACATTGTGTAATCAATTATATAGTAACATATAATCACTTGTATAATCCATTATAATTAACTATATTTCACCTTAATTTTGATATAAAAAAATTAATATCCTAAACCAAACTATTCAATATTTTTGGTTGGTTTCCCTTAATTCTTTTTTCTGGAAAATTAACCAACCAAATAGCTCCTCACAGTTCCTATACTTATTTGTTATTATTTATAATTTAGTCTGAATTATGCCATAATTTGTGAAATGTTGTTTTACTTGAATCTAAAATCTTCTGCAAAAGATCACATTTGAACCACTAGAATTGTCAACAATAGTTTTGTTTATAGTATCAAGACTTAGATTTTTTTATAAACAAAAGTGTTTTCTTGTATGTTTGATTGGAGTTTCAACTCTTTAGAGTCAATCTATATTTTCGAAAAAGTCTTTTAATTTTGTCTTGGTAGAAAGTTCAAATTTTATATAAAGTTGTTGTGTTAAAACAAATGGCTTGTTAAAGAAATATTGACTCATTTTTTTATTTTAAATTTTTATTTTAAAAAAATTAATTCAAATTTAATGGTTATTGTTAAATTTTTATTAGACTTCAAAAGTAGTAATTTAATGAAATTTAACAATAACTATTAAATTTAGATTAATTTTTTAAAAAAATAAAAATTTAAAATGAAAAATTATATTAATATTTTTTTAAATGATAATTTATTTTAGCACAACAATTTTAAAAGTAATTTACACATTTGACCTTTTTCTTTCTTTCTTTCTTTTTTATTATAGTGCCTTTTTTTTGTATTAACCTCTCGGTATCTAGTAACTACATTGACTTTCGATTAATCTGAAATCGAGTCACATCAAACCCCATTAAAGAAGCTCTCTCAGAATCTATTTCTTCATTTAAAGACTCAAACTTAAAATCTTATTTAAGAAGAATCAAATTCTTTTTACTGGTACTATTATAACGTCATTCTTGTCGGAGCAACTTGCTTGGACTTTGGAGAACCTGCCCCAGCCCAACATTGAAATGGGTCTGGGTTCAAGTTGAGCAGCTCAAATCGGCCCTGTCAAATGTGCCCAATTATGTCATATTAGAAATCCCCATCATTTAGAAGCCAAATCCCAACGGTCAAAAAATGCCTCCCTCTCCAACCTTCGACGATGGAGGAAACTCCTCTTTCTCCTACATTCAGATCTCGGCGAAGTCCCTTAACTTTCTCTCTCAGACGCAAAACCGCGATGGGCTTTTCGAAGACTCAACCAACCGATCCGCCGTCATTCGAGAATCTCGCTTCCGATATGTTATCAACCTTCTCGACGCGGTGCCCGAGACCAACGAGGGATGAAAAGGCTTCCGCGTACAAGGGCGGAGCTACCAAGTCCTGGCTCTCACCCTCCGATTCGTAGCCGTGTCAGACCCACTGTAGATATTAGTCCCAAAATCCGCTACAAGCGAAGAGAAAGCAGAAGAACCTTCAAGTCTGTGGCCATCAGAAAATTCCCTTCCCACGGTGTGAGCTTCGGAGGGTAGACTCCGGGGTTGTAGAAGAATTACGTAGAGGCAGGGCGATTCTAAACTTGCGTATTGCTTTTGGAGGTAAAATTTCATTTCATCTGTTTAGTTTTACGAATTATCTTTGTTTAAAAGGGCGATATGCATATGGAATTCCTTCTGTGATGATGATTTCAACTTGTTTGGCCTTGGAAATTAAGTTTGTTCTGACTTCATGTCTCTGTGATGGTAACTCGATGATTTTGTTAAGAGGCCAATGGTGGTTATGAATTGAAGATGTTTGAACTCAGTGTTGGTCCAGCAAATCCATGGTTTCAAACATTTTTATGTGCGTTTCATTAGTTTTTTCTTGAGTATTCTGCTATTATCTTCTTGCTAAATACATGTTAAGGGGGAGAGTGTAATTTAGTCATTGTGTAAGTTAGATTTAGGACTCTGGCTATGTGGAAGTGGAAATAAATAGAACAAGTTGCACTTTAACAGTTAAGTTGGATGTGAGTTTTAATTAGTCTAAAGGTTTTCAAAATGATCTCTGTTGTCAAAAGTGGCAGTGATGCTTGGTAGTCAAGTGGCATTTGAAATGTGTGACAAGAGCTAATGTGGTTGAAATTGAAATTATCTTCGGAAAAAATGGGCAATTGGGTTATGAAAACATATTTAGAAATTTTTGAATTGATGGTGTATGGGTATGTTCTTTGTTTGCATGATGGTCTTTAGGTTTAGGACGTGTTCGGTTAATGTGTTTCAATAGTATAATGGTCCTTTATACAGAATTTGTTCTGTCTAAATCATTGAATAAGATCACCTTTGCATTTGGAACAGTGGATGAAATAGTAAGTAAGGAAAGAGATTGAAACAAGATGGTGATAGAAGTTCCTAATAAAAGGAGGTGAGAAATAAAAGAAAGATCATTAGTGGAAATAATGGTCTGGTTTGGTTTATAAGATTGAATTTGTCTAAGTCACTTTAATTAAGATTAAAGCCTTGAGAACAAACTTCTGATATTCTTTTTGAAATCCATTAGTCTTATCCTTAACTTTTTTAGAGATTACAAATTGCCTCTCGATTCAATTTCAGTTTTCTTTTCTATTTGGTTTTGAACCTGTTTGGTGATTGGTTGAATGCGGCCTATTTGTTTCATATGTGGCATAAGGTTCTGATATTGTTTGAACTTTCATTGCTAATTGTCTGTGTTTTACTGCAGAATCTTTTGAACTTTGATTACATTTACTATAATTTAGTTCTTCCAACTTTCTTCTATTTATTTAATGTTTAATTGATTTCTATATTGTTATAATCAAGCCCTAAACATATTAGCTATTTTCATTTAAGGTTGTTTTTAATTTGATTGCTACTAATGAGTTTTATTGATTTGGTTTATTTATGTGATTCACCTTGCTTATGGAGATGAACCATATGGAGCCAAGTGGATCTTTCGGTCTAAATCATTAATATTCAAGATATCATTTTCATTTTTTTCACTTTATTCTTTTATCTGGAATTGTATCATTTAATTTCTGAATTGCAGTTTGTTTTGTATTTAATTTTACAAAAACTCAGCATTTCATTTTGTTCACAACTCACACAGCACTCAATATGCATCGCATGTAATCTGACCGGATGGCATAAGTTTTCATATTCAAAATTTGAGAGATGATGTAAATAACCAGTGAAGGGATAATATGCCAGTTCGGTAATGCCAGTGCTTGGTATCAGTAAAACTTAATAATCTAAGTTTAAGAGAAGATACAACCACTCAAGGGACAACAACTCCTTAGAATAACCTACTTGTTTCTACAATGTAGATTGAGAACTTTATTGTGAGAAAGATGTTTGTAGATAGTGAAAGTGTGGATGGTATTCTATGCTATTACATATTTAGGAGGTTTAGACTTCATGAAGTTTGGTTGTAGAAATGCAATGAACCAATTGGTTTAGCAACATGTTAGTTTCAGTTGAAGGAGTTATTTCCTTGCTAGTGATCTTGGGATTGTCTACTTGTAATGTTGCCACAATGATGAGGTTTTGGTTGTTAAGACTGGCGGGGATTGCATTATTTTCCTTGGCATATCTACCTTTAACTGTATGACAGGTATATTTTTCTTATCTAATTTGAAACTTAAGGTTCATTTGGTATCACCTTGTTTGTTGGTCTTTCTACTTTTCATTTTTTTCTTTTTCTTTTTTTTTTTCTCAAACAGCTCCTTGCTTCTGTTCTTTTTTCAAAATAAAAATAAATATAAAATTAGAAACAAAAACCAGTGGTCAATAATTTTTGTTTTGATTGTTGGAAAAAAATTGTTCTTAGTACTATTATCTGTGTCTCTTTTTCTACATATTACTTATATTGTCTATATTTGATGCTTTCCTTTATTACTGGTATTTGGTTATATATTTATAGATTTCAGAATGTTTTAATGGGTTTTTTTTTTCTAGCAGTACTTAATTATAGTTGTATAATGTAAATAATTTAACTAAATAGAAAATTATTTGTAAACTTCTTATACTACTTTCCTTTTTTGGCCAATATTACAGTACTTTTCTCTGATATTTAATGGACTTTCTTCAACCAGTATGTATTGTAATTGTAGTTGTACAATGTAAAAAAATATCTTTTAATTTCTTTTTTTGGCCATCAAAAATTATCTTTCAATTATTTTACCTTCTTTTGTAACCTTTTTTTTTTTCTGAAAAGCAATTCAATCAAGTTTTCAGAACATTTATTATTATATTTTTTCTCTTCAAAATTTAAATAGAAACAAAACATAAATAAGATGCAACATAACCAAACAAGTGGTTTTTCTATCAAATTGTTTTCTTTAGACATTAAATTGCCAACTTCAGTTTTAAGTTTTCAAAAAAAAATTAATTTCTATTTTCAAAATTTCCATTTAACATTTTATGGTGATACCAAATAGTTCTCCAAGTTTCAAATGAAGTGATGAAAAATATACCTTTTATGTAGTTTGGGTAAGGCATGTGAAGGAGAAATTGTAAGCGATGCTAATCATCTTGACGACACCTTCTTGTGGCAATTTAACTAAGTGGAATTCCCAAGGTTGCTGTTAGGAGATACCCTCTCAAATGAGATTGATGTGTTTGTTCAACCAATTGATTTGTTCATTATATTTTATTTTCAACCGAATTTCATTAAGTTCTAAACTTACTAATGTGTGTAGAAAGAATATCAAACATACTGCCACAACATGCAAACACTCTTTTACCGTTAAAGTTTTCAATCCAGTGTAGACTGGTAGACTATTCTATAGAGTTGGTTTCTTGGTGGAGGCTAGTATCATTAATCTCTTGACATAGATTATAAATAGGGAACCTTCTTTTATATAGTTTGGACTGCATCAGACTGTAAGACAAGAACTATTAGATGGGGGAGGGCTCTTAATTTTAGAGGACTTAACCCGAGTTTAATAGTTAATGTAGTGTCATATAATACAATTTGGATTATACTATACTTTTTCGTTATAAATACTTGTCTACTTAATGGACCTTTTTTTATGCAAATTCATTTGTTCTTAATTTTTGCAGGTTTTGAGATTGAAGATTACAAGTTTATATATGGAGACGAGAGAAGATTAGTTTAATTATGAGAGGGTTATTCTTAATTTGTATACAAATTATGAAATATGTACCCAAAAAAAAAAAATGTAAAAGAATATATGAAAAACAAAGGGCTATTGCAAGTTTTAATAATCCTTCCATCCTACTTCTTTAATTGTAACCATTCCTGTTTTCATTCACGTCTACATTGCGTCTTGCTCTTCTTTCCAGAGTCAAGACCTACTTTCAACCCTTTATAAGAAAAATAAGAGAAAGATACATTAACTTAACAAAAAAAAGGTATTTTGTAGTTCTAATTGCAGAAATTTATTAAAATTGTACTGAACTACAAAAACATTAATTACTAGATAATTAAAAACCCTTGATATTATAGGCTTCTCATCTGCAATTTAAATCTGAAATAGTGTGAATTGTATTATATTAAAGTGTATAATTTTTTTATCAATGATTTAAATAATTTAGTAATAATTTTCTTTCATTAAAAGTAAAAAATATTAAATTTAAATTGTATGATATACGAATAGGATAGGATAAAAGATGAAAATAGTTACTTTCGTTTATACAACCAAAAAAAAAAAAAGGGGTTCAATTTTTTCTTAAGAAATCATTTAAACTTTTTAATGTAATGCATTAGTGCTGGCCCAGGGGAAAAAAGATAATAGAAGCAAACAAGCCCAACATTAAAGGAAAAAAAAATCCCAAAATTAAATCCGACCCATTAAACAGAGACCCGAAACCTCGCCATTTGAGGCTGAGGGACGTCTTCAGGTTCTTCGTGTTGCCTCTGCTCTGCATCCTAATCCCTCCATAGAAACCAGCTGGGGTTATACTGAAAAATAATCGACTCAGGTAAATAAATTTTTTTTTTTTTTTAAATTTAGTTTTGAATGCTGTTTAGTTGAGTTGATTTGATTCCTACTTAAATATATATATATATATGTTTTCTTTTAAAAAAAAATTTTTGAGCTGTTTTTCTAGTGAATCAACTGCGTATTTAATGCTATTGCTGATGCAATTCTCAGTGTCTAATCTATTTGGTTGTTCAATCCATGTTTGCCCACCAAGTGTTTGTTCAAATGCCTGTTAGACGGTGGCATGCGTGAAATCTCTACTTATTGCTGCATATTCTGACCCACATGTTTTTTTCTGTTGAAAATTTGGTATCAATTAATGGGTTTATATTGCAAGTTAAAAACATACTCATAGCTTTGGTGAATCGTGATTTTATGCCGGTATTTCATCTTTTATGTTGCTAGCTTTACAAGAAAAATTGCTTTGAAGGTCAAGCAAATGACAGCATTTTAAGCATTAATTGCATCATAGATTCTGGTTTTTCTTTCATCAGTTTCTTGGGCATTCTTAAGTTTGTTATGGTTAAATAAAAATCATTATTGCAGATATGTTAATTCACAAGGAGATGGGTTTATCAGCAAAAGGGTTTGGTTGGCTTGTGTTTGTTGATAATTGGGAATTTGAGAATTGGGTTATGCAGTTGTTTATTATTTTTAAAAGCTCCTAGTAGTAGCATATGGCAAGTATGTATTGCTTTGTTCCTAGTTTATGTTAACATAAAAACCTTTAGGTGAAAAGAAAATTTTATCTACTTTCACTAAAAATAGAAGAAGAACCTATGGTGTTTTACAATGCCCGCTTTTGGTTTCATTGTGTTGGTATGAAGTTTTAGCTCAATTGTGTGACATCTACATAATAATGTCAGACTTATTAAGACAGATATACAGGCTAGATGGGTGGGTTTTGAACTTTTCTTCTTTCTTTTAAATTCATATTGCAGATGTCTTCTCTTTGACCTGATTTGAACATGTATACTTTTCAGTTTGAAATCTAGCCTTTTTTTGGATGCGTTGATTCAAGGCCTGTCTTGCCGTCAAATGGATTTCTTTTTTTTCTCTCTTTTTTTTGGATTTATGGAAATGCAGTTATATGTAGAAGCAAGATTTATTCTCTCTGTTGTCTTTTTAACTTTGCTTTTTGTGTATTTCATGCTTTCTAGGTAAAAATATAAAGATGAGACGGCATGAACAATATCCTGATTCTGGTGCCAATGCATATCTCTCTGCTCAGATGCAGCAGCATATGCCTGGGCAGATTATGGAGCAAAATTCCACTCCCTTCCAAGGACAACTAGAAGCGTTCACTCCTGAGAGGGATCAGCCAGCTGCAACTTCAAGCACGGACGGGCAATGGGGATGGGAAAGAGATGGGTCCAAAGTGTCAAATCAAATGGCAGGACCACTGTACAATGAAGGTAAGCCTATCTCTTATCTCTCTCAGTCTCTCCTCGTTTTCTGTTCTAGGTGTTGATCATATAATACACATGCTGATTACCTGAGTACAACACATAAGTGGGTTAGCCTTAAAGTTCAATAGGTATCTGGGTAATGGGTTCCTTTTCAGTACATAGGAAGGTAGAAGTCTGCATTACATAAATGTCAGACCAGCTGACTGTTGCAATTCTGGATCTGAGACTTTGACTATGATTTATTGAAAGATATTAGTCCACATCCCCATCAATCTTTGTACTTAATGCTATTTTATCTCCTCGGTAGAATTAAGTATTGCCCTTTGTCTTCTTGATTTTTACACGTTTTATGACATTTTCTATGCATAGAAACATATTTTTGTTTTTTTTTTTTATGTCTTTGACTGTTATTCCTTTGGTTTCTTGCTTGTTATGATGTAGGCCAGTGGGCAGATAGATCAATAACTTATTTTCAGGGCCAGAGACCAGATCTTAAGTCCTCAGAGAAACAAAACGCTGATCTTAGATCTCGACAGCATGAAGAAGACATGGAAATTGGGTATGAAGATAATCATTCTTCAAAAACTTTTGAAGGCCTTGAGAAGAAGTTCCTGGATGACATAATGAAGCTTGCCAAGGAACAGAATGATGCTGAGGATGCAGAAAATGCCAGACATAGGGAGGTCAGTACCTTTTTTTGGCCATATTAGTGCATGAGTTCACCCTGTTTCATCTTCTTAATAATTTAGCACCTCATGAAGTAAACTGCATCCCTAAATGCAATGCTCTCTCAGGTCTCAACTCTGTTATTGTGGTTACAACTTACTACTTCTTGAAGTTGATAAAATTTTATGTTGTGTGCACTTTTCCTGGGCATAGATGTTTAAACATGTAGAGTAGCCAAACTAATTATGCCTCAATTAATACATGAATTTGCCTGGGTTGTGGATGGTTTAGATATCATGAGTTTGTCCACAAATTTTGCATAGTAGCGCATATGTTAATTGTTGAGGAGTAAGGATACTCATGCAATGAATTTGGCTAAGGTTGTTCTTCAACCTTGCCCTCAGAGCCAGTCCTTTTCCCGAGGTTATGGATCTGTTTTGCTCTAAGTCTAGGACCTCAAACTCTTCTTCTTGGACATGCTTCCAACCTGAGCTGGCACAATTAGACATAAGGTTTAGAATAGTTTTGGATGGGTATAATCAATTCATAGCAGACGATAAAATTGTTTTTTCCTTCTCATTGGTGTATTTTTTGTGATCCTGTTCAATTTATTTCAGAGAATAAATGCAATCAACGCTCAGTATCAGGAACAGCTAGCTGCACTTAGAGCACGGCATGCAAATCGTAGAGATGAGTTCCTCCGAAAGGAATCTCATGCACGCCAACAACAGTACCAGCAAACCCTTATCGTTCACTACCCTAACATTGGCATGGGCTCGGGTAATGCCATGACACCTGGTAATCCTCATAGTTATAGCGGTGTCGCAGGTTCTGCCATGGTCGGGGATGCAAATCGTGCTTACAACTCAGACCCTTCTGACTCTTATAGAGAGAGGACTCGATTTCTTGGAGCTGCCAGAGATCAAGGGTTTGAGCCTAGAGGTTCATATCCTGGGGGCCGTGTCTATGATACTGGCTCACGTTACTACTGAATTTTGCATTTGTTATATCCTACCCCCTCTTTCCCTCCAGAAACTGCTAGTTAGACTGTAGCAGACTTTAGCTGTATTTCATTCTCAACAGATTTATGCAGGCGTTTCTTGTTTGTAATGTTTCACATCTTTTCTGATTTCTCAACAGATTTATGCTAGTGTCTCTTATTTTATGCTATTCACGGTCACCATTCATCCATTTAGTTCTGAAATCTTCAAGATCATGGATCTCTAATCCGTAATTTTATACCCCTTTTGTGTACCACACAACTCTTTTGTAAATTTAATGAGAGAGTGCAAGTTTAGTAAATTCTTACACAAATTTTCAAGTGCATGCTATAAAATTTAATGCGTTACTTTAAAAATTTAAGTGTTAAAACTTTAAAATTAGTGGTTAAGAATTGATGTCACACCAAGTTCATTACAAGTTATATCTAATAAATGGTCTATTTTATTGAGGAAAAAGTTAGACATGCAATATTTATGCGTTATTTTGTAATTAACTCACTAAATATGATATTATATATATTTATTTAATATTACTTCATATTATGTTAATATGACATGGCATTGGACTTATTGACCTCAATATATTATCAAATTAATCTAAATTACGGGTTGAATTGAATCATTACCTTACCTAACTTCTATATTGAGGTTTTATGTAATTAGATAGGGTTCTATCCTTATTAGTCTATAAATTTTACATTACATCATATTGGCCTATGAATCATACATTGCTTCAACGTTGATCCAACAATTTTTTTTTCTTTTCTCTTGATCATAACTTCAAAGTAAAATTGTTTAACGGCATAATAGTTTATAAGTAATTTTGTTCTCACAAAAATAAAAGATTTTAAGTTTAAATCACATAATAATAATATGAAAATAAAGTAGATTAAAGGATATAAAAATATTATTTTTATTATATAACTCAAAATAATAATAATAATAATAACTCCAAAGAAAAATTAAGTAATATACACACATATATATATGCTTGTTTTAATTTTAGTATTACACATTTTTTTGGCAAAAACGTTTCTTAAGCCCTCAACCTTACCTCAAAATAGTATTTAAGCCTCTGAAATAAAAATGAAGCAGATAAACCTTCCAACTCCACTAACAATGCAAATAAGTCCTTCTTACAAGCAGGTCAAATGGTATTTCACTTTGAAAGCACGAACAACCATGAATGAGAAGGATTTATTTGCATCATTAGTGGAGTTAAAGGGCTTATCTCCTTTATTTTTAGTTTAAGAACTTAAATGCTATTTTTAAATAAGTTTGAGGGCTTAAGAAGGATTTTTTGCTCCATTTTTTATGGGCATTTTCCCCCCAGTGGGTAAGGTTTCTAAATATTTACACTATTGTCCATATAAAAATACATATACACAAATTAAGTCGGTACTTACGGAGTAATAATTGTTTTCCCTCCGAAGCTGAATCCTCTTCACCGGCAAATCCGCCGTTGTCTCCGTCGCACATCCGAAGAGCAGATGATCTGCATTGTCTTTCGCGCACTTTTAAGATCTCTTCACTTTCTCCTTTTATTATGGTGGGTTTACCGGAATGTTTCTCCGATTCGAATGGGCGACTCTACTCCGACAATGACCAGCGAGTTCACTTCGTCTCCGTCGGGTCTCCTCTTCGGGTTTGCTTCATTTCGTTGTTCTTTCTAATTTGAATTCACAAATCTGGATGCAAGTTTGAATTTATGATGTTTTCTGTTTTCTGAATTTAGCTTGGTGTTGGGATATTGCAGTATCCATCCTGGTTTTTTGCCCTTTTTTTTTGGCTTTATTAATTTTTCATTTCGTTTTGGCTGCATTGGTGTAGAATTGTTTGAATCTAGGAAAAGAAGGTGAGTTTATGATTCTGATGCGAATTGGTTTTCAGGAGGTGGAAGGATGCCCAAGATTGGACATCAAGTGAATGAGGGATTTTGTATACTGCAATGCAAGGGACGTCCTATGCCAGTCCAATGAAGTTAATCAACAATATCTTCAACTCGGATCTTGCTTTCAATCTGAGGAGGGATGAGGATTCTTTGCAGAATGGGCAAAATGGTGAAGTGAGTGTCTCTGCTCGGGATTATGCATTGATCACTGGACAAATGTGGTTGTAGGCGCTTAAATGGTGAGTATTAAGAATTTGCTGCTCCTACGTTTGAAGTTTGATTTGGTTCTGAATGTTAATTATTATTATTATTATTATTATTATTATTATTAGTATTTTGTTTGATTGGCATGGTTCTGAATGTTAATAAGCATCAAGTCTAAAGTGTAGTGCATTCATTGGATTCATTTTAGACTTGGGTGCGAATATGCCAATGTTTGGTAATTTAGGTACAATTTGTTCAGGATTTTAAGCTATGGATGTCGGTTAAATGTAGTCCATTTAAGGCCCCTTTTGCTCTAGATGCCATGAGGTGAACTGATCTGATTATACTAAAAAGGTACTTTATATATTCTGTAAAGTTCGAACTTATGATATTCTTTAATTTCTCAATCATGTTTGATGAGCTGCTGTACTTAAAGTTTGAAAATGGTAAAGAAGAATATTTACAACCTCAATCTTGGTAGAATGAATTGTATTTTCCTTATGGAAAATTACAGCTTCACACATTATTATTCCCTTCCATTTTTTGGCATATGGGTTACTGCTTCCTACCTTGGTCCTTATCTTTAACATATAATGTTATTGGTTTGAATATTCCATTCTTAAAAGAATTTTTTTCCTATGTTCTTAAATGAATTTTGTACAGGGCTAAGCATTAACTATAAGTTCCTACATGAATTTGGACACTCTTGCATGTCCATAATATTTTTCCCATACAATGGCTTTGGTAATGCATGCATAAAATAATAAAATAATATATTGATGTGATGACATTTTTACTTTAGTTTGCACTAATTTTCAGTCTTCTGGATAATTACCACTGTGATTTATATGTCATATTTTTGTGTTGAGTCTTCCTAGGAGATTTCCTTTTCATTATCTTTTTGTCACTCTCTTTTTCCTTTTCAGTGGCTGAAGAGCTACCATGCTTGATATCTATGAAGTTAGATGCAATGTAATTCCACAATGCGCGCATTTATTATCAGTGATAACTCTCTATTTCTCAGAAATAAAACATCAATTTATCTGATGAAATACTTTTCAGCAGTTAATGCATGTGCATTTCTTTTTCCTCCAAAACTTATTGTTACAATTCCATCCCATAAAATTTTTAAGCATGTGCATGAGGAACTGAAGTTTGTTTGAATCAGATTTCGGTCCTCAGTATTTGGTTGTATTTGTTAAGTTATCCAACCTCCAATGAATTAGTAATTGGTGAAGAGGCCCAACTTGAACGTAAGGCAACCACAAAATTAAACCAATGTGGGATCACAATGTTGCTTGACAACAGTGTTCGATAAAACAATTTGATTTGATGTTTGATATCTCCATAAACTCTATTTTTATGCTTTTAACATAGGTATACTGATGCTAAAGTTGCACCAAAGAGTGGAAAAAGCTTTTCAGCTGCTGAGGATGACATGGCAGGTGTCTACCCCTTTTAGCTTAGGTTCTCTGTTGTAAGGGAAATGAATTCACTGGCAGTAATAATTATCAAAAAGGTTGGTAAATACAGAATCCCTCCTATTTTGCTCTTTCCAGTTAGGGACTAAGTTGGCTATGGGTTTTTTTTTCCTCTAATGTCCAACTAGCCAATGTAAGCATCTGCCAGCTTTCCTGTTTCATCTGTTTTATTCTCATGGTGCATGCCTAACTGGTTCTGCGGCTGATTGCTTATGTTTCTACATCTTTTTATCATTACCCATCTGGCCTCTTTAGTTTCTCTTTCATTTCATTTATCCACAAAATGGTGTCATATTCTTTTTTAGGATAATGCAATTAAGCTCTCCAGAAGAGCTTGCAAAATCTTCAGTGTGGAATCTGAGCAGGTATTGCATTTTATATGACAACTTTTTCTTCTGAAATGGATTGGTGTCTAACTTCTGATATTGAACAGTTGCACATCTGGGACTTTTCTGGGCAGACAACCTTATCTTTTATGCATGACAGAAATAATTTACTAGAAGATTGTCGGCATCAATCGGGTCAGGAGGTAAGACGTCGATTTTTTTCCTTAGATATTGGAGTATTTGTACATTTAAACAAATTTGTTTGATTCTCCCATCAAGACATTGTGCCTGGATTTTTTTTTCTTTTGGCCTTCCCATTGTACTTGGATTGAAAAACTCATTTCTTTTGACAAATACATTAATACAGCTTCTCCACTAGTGAGGCTGTATTCCCTTTCAAACACTATATCACTTTGGCAAACCACATAAGATAAGGTGCAAATTTATGAAGAAAACTTATCTTACAATCTTTCAATCATTACCCTAACGGGATCCATTTTTTACAGAAAAACAAGAGAATGCATCTTGAAGTTGCAAATTTTCACTTGCATACTGCATCATGGAAAAACTTCAATGTTTCTAACTGAAGTTGGCAAATTCTTGTTATCCCCTTTAGGTTGTTATAGTATTGTCTAACTTAAATAGAGAAAGGAAAAAGGATGAAACATTAATGAATCATGTTCCAAATTCTTCTTCAGGTGCTTCAGCTTTGATGAATGGTGGTTCTGGCAGTGCAAACTCCAATCTATACCAAATTAATTCTTTAGTGACCCGTGTAAGATCAGGAGAAGCAGGTTCCTTGGGATTAATAGGATTACAAAATCTCGGAAATACATGTTTCGTGAACAGTTCCATTCAATGCTTGGCACAGACACCAAAGATCATTGACTATCTTCTTGGAGATTATGGTAGAGAAACAAATCATGGAAACCCATTGGGCATGGATTTACGTTACATTTACTCCAATTCTAATTATTAAATTTTCTCAGTAAGCATATGTTTTGGGAAGTTCTGCATTTCTTCCAAGTTGAATGCCATCCATTTGATTTGTAACTGGGGCTTCTTTTCCAAGGTGAAATTGCTACAGCCTTTGGAGATTTATTAAGGAAGCTATGGGCCCTAGAGCAACCCTTGTGGCACCAAGAACATTTAAGTCAAAGCTTACTTGTTTTGCTCCTCAATTTAGCGGTTTTAATCAGCATGATTCTCAAGTTAGTGAAAGTTTTCCCGTTCTCAAAATTGTTTTTGGACCTTTTTATTTCTTCAGGTAGGTGGTTACTAGGTACAAGGTCATAATATGCCATACATATATTCTGAATGTGATAATTCTTTTATCTTAGGAGCTGCTTGCCTTTTTGTTAGATGGACTTCACAAGGATCTCAATCGTGTGAAAAGCAAACCCTACATAGAAGTCTAGGATGGAGAGGGTTGACCAGATGACGAAGTAGCTGATGAATATTGGCAAAATCATTTGGTTCACAATGACTCTATCATTGTTGACGTGTGTCAAGTGAGTGTTTTTTTTTTTCAACAGTAGTCATGTCAAGTTTCATTTCATTTTTAATATTAAAAATCTAAGATTGTTTCCCGACTTATGTAACTACCATATGTCACTACAGGGCCAATTTAAATCAACATTATTTTGCCCTGTGTGCAAAAACATATCTTTTACGTTTGATCCTTTCATCTACCTGTCACTACCTTTACCATCAACAACAATGAGGACAATGACCCTAACAGTCAGCGGTACTGTCGGAACTGCTCAACCTATTCCATAGACCATCACTGTTCCCAAGTCTGGAAAATTTGAAGATCTTATCCGGGCTCTCAGTGTTGCATGCTTTTTAGGGGTTGATGAGACCCTTTTGGTGGCTGAGGTATGCTTCATCATTTAAAATATTCTGGTCAGTTATTTTACTTCCTTATGTCTATGTTACTGCTTATAGATGTTCATTTTTAATCTAAATAGCTACAAACTTCTATGCAGAAATACAACAACCGACTTATACATTATCTTGAAGAGCCTGCTGATTCTTTATCCTTAATCAGAGCTGATGGCCAACTGGTTGCATATCGATTAATTAAAGACATTGAAAATATTCCTTTGGTTTTGTATTTATGCATCAGCAAATAGAAGAGTAAGTTTGCTTTGCTCCTACCTTGATAACTTGTTAAACATGCCTGTTTCTTTCTTTTTTCCCTTTTCATGCATTTTTCAAGCATTTCCCTTCTTATGTACACTTGGTAAGTTCAAATGGGGTTGACTCAACCTCAGATGCTGGATTACTGTTGTACGTGACAGTTGAGAGGGGAACTATAAAGGAATCAAAGATAGTTATGAATGCACCACTCAAAGTCACAGAATTTTCCAGCCGGTTGAATGTGATTGTATGTTGGCAAGAAAAACACGTTTAACAATATGATACATGCCTTCTTAGCCCCTTCCCATGGATTTTCAATCCTGACTTTTTTGCAAAGAGACAACAGGAGTCTGTTTCTCTGTGTAAATGCCTTGAAGCATTCTTGATGGAGGAGCCTCTTGGACCAGAAGACATGTTGTTAGTGTTTGCAACAGTTTTCTTTCTACTTAAGCTTAAGAAATATTTTCTTCAAATAGCTAATAGGGTTTTGTATATCACTTTTTGGCAGTATCAAAATGGATTTTAAGCAATAAGTGAGTTATTTCTTGTCTCTTTTTTCTGCATTGTCTCTTGGTGGATAGCTAGCAATATTGGTATGTCTATGGAAATCCCTGGACTTATAGGTTGTCTGTTTCCTTTATTGCTAGTAAACACTTCTTATGCCTTGAGTGATACTAAAGAGCTTGTCATCATCACTGTTGTTTCTATGGAGAGTTTCCTTCTATTGAAGTAATGGTAAATGCATTTTCTAGCTCATTTAAGTGCACTTCTCCATTAATGTTACTTTCTTTTGTAATAATTGAAATTTTCTTTCAGCCTGCTTACACTTAAATGCTTTGGTTTCCAGTGTCTCTTTTTGTTAATAACAAAAAAAAAAAAAAGAAGCTTTTATTTGTTGAGGTGTGGCCCTGTCCTTATGTTTCTGACATGGATGGTTGTTTGATGTAATTTCAGGTTCTGTCCAAGCTGCAAAAAGCATTGTCAAGCCATTAAAAAGTTAGATCTCAGGAGACTACCAGAGATTCTGGTTACCCATTTAAAGAGACTCTCATATAGCCGGTTCCTGAAGAACAAGTTAGAAACATACATTGACTTCCCTGTTGATAATCTTGATTTGTCAAGTTACATTCCGCACAAGAACAGCCAGTTATCAAACTGTTACATGCTTTATCCTGCTAGTAATCACTATGGAAGTATGGGAGGTGGCCATTAGACTGCATTTGTTCATGTAAGTATAGATCTATCCTTTATCTATTATGGTTTCCCTTCTTCTTTTCTTTCCAATGCATGTCTGTGAGCAAACGATTGCAAGCATGCGTGATTGTTATCTATTAGCTCTGCCTGAGTTCTCTAATTATTCTTTTTCTAATGTAGCAGGGGGATGATCAGTGGTACAACTTCAATGACAGTCATGTTTATCCCATCAACCAGGAGAAGATAAAGACATCAGCTGCTTATCTTCTCTTCTACAGAAGAGTTGTAGAATAAAATATGGAGGTTGTCATTTATTGACAACAATCGGAAGCCAGGTATATTAGGTGAATACATCAACATTTTTGCCAGCTTAAACAATTCAATCTCAAAGAGTAGCATTCTTTATTATTGGGCATTATTTAGTCTGAGTTGATATATAGTATCAAGTACCATGTATTACAGTGGGAAGGAAATTATAACCTTAATTAGGTTCAACAATGACTGTAACGTAGTATTAACAGGAGAGGAGGGATTTGTCATCTGCAAGACATGCTGTTGATTGACCATCAGCCAAGGAAAACGTCTCACCATTTTTATACTGAGGGGAAATTGAATTTTGTAAGTTAACTGAATTCAAAGGTGTAATTTTAGTTTCTTGTACAACTGGTAAAAGCAGATACTGAATTAAATTCATGGCCAATCCATGAATTGTCAATTGCAACATGACATTATCAAATGTCTTTTATTGAATTATTTCTTGTCTCTATCACTCCTGGCATTTCCCTTTCCAGCTTGTAGTATTCTTCGACAGGAAAATCGCGACAGTGGAAAGAGATAAGTTTTACTCCCATGCCTTATGTTATAAGTTACCATAGCTGATATTTGATTCATGAATAAATGCATCGCTTTCTCTGAGTGCAATAGCCGATGTAGATGTTCTAAGCTGTGTAGCTTCATGTGCTGGAAAGATGCATTAGTGCATTACATTATGTCTCTGTTTTTTACTGTTAGATCTCTGATTGCAACTGGATGAAGCTGTGTAGAAATTGACATATGTAGTTTTGTTGTCCATACGGAGGATAAGATAGAAGAAATGTTATGGCCTATGGGTGGATGGGACCACCTGTATTTTCTCTTTCCCATCTGTGCTAAGATGTGACTTGACCCTGTTGATAATTGGAGTACCATAGTACCGAGTCCCTCTTCCCTCGGTCAAGGGCGGTCAGGACCACCATTTCTTGGTTCTTATTCTGCTCAAAACTCGTGGTTCTCACTGATCGACACTTCTCATTGGAGCCTTGATTCCAACTCTTAATAT